GTAAGGCAACAGAAATCTCTCTGGGTAGTATCGTTTTGGGACAGAGACTCCATTTTGCACATACTACATCTTTTCCCTTTCTTTGTTATCCCTCCTACATCAATATATACAAAGGTGAATTCTATCAGATATCAAGATACTGAGGATGGCTTACAGAAAACAGGTGGGTACACGATAAAAAAAGCAATGGTATGACTGATACTGTGACAAAACCAAAGTGCCCCTAATGAAAAATTTTTCAAAAAAAGTTAAAAATGCAAGCAGAAACAATTTTAATTATATTACTCCATGACATATATAACATGACATTTATATTTAAATATAGTCAATTAGAGGCTAATAATTTTGTCATTTACAAGAAAAAATTCAGTCCAGAGAAAAGCTTAGCATAAACAAGATGAGAAATGGAGAATCACTGTTTAAGTCTAAAGAATCTCCTTGTCTTCCAACTTAAAAGTCTTGACAAGCAAATTTGCAAATAAAAGTTACTCACCCCAGATGTAAACTATTTTATTTTGTTACTCTACTTACTTTCATCTGGCAATAAAACAAAGTATCTAACATAACTGGAGCAGGGTGAGGTCTTCTTCATTATTGTCGCACGCTTGCCTACAATTCCAGATTTATCACAGGGAATTCCCTCAAGCTTTTGGTTAAGGCATTGAAGAAATGTACCATCACAGCCACCAGAACAGCTCATCAGGAGATAATGAAATTTATTTTAATCAATGTATATTAGTCACTGTCAGGATCAGGTTCAATGAATCACCAAGCAACTTTGTCAACCAGAGAACTTAAATTAATGCTGCCTTACCCTACAGTCTTTTCGTTCTCAAATCCAAACTATGCTTTGCTAAAAGGAAAATTGGATCAATTTAATTTTCACTGTGGAAGTGTTTCAAATGCTGAATTATTACCCTGCAAATATCCAGTTTAACTCTTTTTCTGTCCTGTGAACACAAACGGTTCATTTAATTCACAGAAACGTAGAAGTGCCAATAAACAGTCACAATTAATTTCAATCTGTGTTAGGTTCAGTTACAAGCTAGAGCTACTGAGTTCAGAGTCAAACTTTCCTGAAATTTATGAGGCGTGGTTTGGAATCAATCTTACATCATTTGTACATTGTATTCAGCTGCTCAATGGCACCTAACACTGGCCTATTCCCTCCCATCACTCCTTCTGGTAAATAAATGAATTTCTAATATTAAGTCTTTTTTTCTCCCGCTTGTTCCCATTTTAAGGAATGCTTTATTTTCATGAAGAGAAAACCCTCTCCCCTTTTTCCTATAAACAAATAGGGCTGTCCAAAACCTGCGTATTTTCATTTAGGAGTTTGTAAATTCTGAATACTTGTTCCTAAACACCCTAGTGAATATGGAGCCTGATGTCTGCCATGTCCAGCTCATTTTTTTCTGGGGTATATCTTTGGCTGTCAGAAGGAGGTGGTCCCCTTGTCTTATGGCAGGATGGAAAAGGGGATGGCTGGGTTGCCTCCTAGGGGTCTTAACACTGGGCTGGCTAACAAGCACTGGCTGCTGCAGTTTACTTGGTGAGCAGAGCTGCTACACAGCTTCCCCTCAAGCTTCTGGTTTGACACTGTCAACAGAAATGAGTATCTGGTCAGTCATGCAAGGTCTCCATAAGTTGCAGGGACTGAGGCTAACGCAAACATATGCTCCTCAAACTGCAGAACCAGTGAGTTCTTGGTGACACGGGGATATTTTACAATAAGTTAGGTATTCCAGAGTCATCTTAAGAGTCCCAAAACTCAGCAGTGCAATTACGCTTTCAGTGAAAGCTTGCAACTAGGCAGAGAAAAGACAGGATGATGATAAAGCCTTGCACCTCCTCCAGACAGGATCCTGCAAAATCCTCACTGTCCTGACAGCCTGGCACTAACAAGATGAAATAACACTCACTAACTTTCTATATATTGCAGAAAGACACTTGAGGAATGTGTAGATGGCATCACAGACATTAGCTCAAACAGCAAAAAGCCAACATTAATCCAGTTGGCTTTGATTAAGGCTACAGAAGATCCAGTTTTCAGAGTGCAGGAAGTTTTCCTATCCAAAAAGACTTAATGGTGTCTTAAGTTACACAGTGACTTTACTGCAGAACTCCAGCAAAAACAAAAGATACAGCCTACTCAGTGTTAACCCTTAATAGCCATAGTAGGGAAATATCCTCTGGTTTGACTGATATCTGTGGCTATGTTTAAAAAGTTACATTTAAGTAACCCATAGTCTGACATGAAATAGCAATGCCCTGAATTTTTTTACTTTTCAATGTCAATTTTCAAAATGAATGTCAACTCTGTTCAAGAATGAACTTCAGTGTTTACCCTTACTTTAAAACAAGGGTACTACTGTTGTTTGGAATAATATTTCAGATGGTAGAGGGAACAATTACTGCTTAAGTTCATTTTCTCTGAATTAGTGAGAAGCTGGAATAATGTCTATGCTGCATTTGTTGATAACTTTTGAGGCTATTTACCATAAATTTCCTCTGCCTCATCTCTGCCTTACTGTAACAGCTTTCAGTATACAGCTGCTGCCTCTTTGTTATTGCCCCCAAAGAAATGTAACACGGTGCCAAAATTTTACTGCAAGTATTAGCGAGGCACTTTTCAAAAAACTTTGCAGTAGTGACATTTATGTATGTTTCTTTTTGATAGGATGTGTAGCACCATGGTTTTTCCTCCTTATATGGTATGCAGAGCAGAAATGGATTTGACAAGCAGATATATAAAAACATATAAGACAAAGGTCTCTTTACTTTCTGGCAAAATATGCCTGCATGCTCTGACACTGAACATCTTCATTTACCTGTAGGTCACTAAGTAAGCCAGGCCTAATGCAATTGCCTTCTATAAAACCAGCAGTCAAGTGCCTGGAAATCTCACTTCATTTAGCACTGAAAAATTAAGTCCATACCACTCCCTAAGTAGAAAGCAGTAAAGACATAAAAATCAAACAAAAAAGGGAAATCTAAAATCATGATCACTGCTTTTCCTTACACAGAGAACATGATCAGCTGTAGTGACTTCTGTCAGATTATGGAAATGCAGTAAAAGGAGAGGATAAGTCAGAAGTCCCTGGGACAGAGGGCAGAGGAACATAAAACCCCAGGTGCCTCACCTCCATAGGACCAGAGCTGCATGCAGAGAGAGGCATTGTTTTTAAGTTCAGCAGTTACAGAAGTGTTATCCAGAGTGTCCTGCTCCTTGTATGATCAAAGACTCAGTACCCACTGGTACATCTCTTGCCTTGGATCTCTCCCTAGACAGCCCATGGACAATACCAGCACTTCCCTGAAGCTGAAAGGATGTGAAGGATTGCAGGATTCATCTACAGGGGATAAAAGTGTAAGCCCTATCGCCAGAAAAAAAGAGCTGAAAAGTTTCTTGTTTTGTTAACCAGGGAGAGGAAAGAACATATGATGAGAATTTTAAGTAAGGTGTATGTATCCAAAATAAAAAGGAAATAATTGATTTTGTCACACTCAAATGTGTATATTCACTTCTGCTTCATGGATGAAGTGTTTTATTTTCTTTCAGTCTTTATAAGGGCATCAACATTAAAATTTCCAACTAGGTTAAAACAGGCTTCTTCATATATTTCTTTGTCATGTCAGGACTAAATTATCCTCAGATCTCTGTGCAACCAGTACGTTATTTCCTTTGTAAACTGCTTTGAAATTTCCTTTGAAAACTGCTGGACTCGTCTTCCTCTAATGCCTTTCTGCCTCATACATAGAAAGCACTCCAGTGGACTGAGGACCTAGAAAATACCTTTTATCAGCAAGATTGAAAGCAAGTACTTTGCCAGGTGGCCATATCTTTGCCAGCTTGGGTGAATGGAGCTGATCAGATCCCAAGTTCTCCCCTTTCTATCAGCCCCACTTTTCTCCTGATCCTTAGACAGACCCCACCCTTTGCAACTGAGCTTCTTCCCCTCTCCCTGTTCCTATCCCTTCCCCTTCCCCAGGCACTGAGGCAAGCAGTTACAAAAGGGAGCGGTAAAACTCTGGTTTGGCAATTGCTTTCCAATGAAAAGCACAACTGCCAGAAGCTTAGAAGTGTCATCACTAAACAAAAGATCAGTTTCAGTCTGCTTAGATGAAGATAGTGAATAACTTTTTATTTCAGTGGTTGCAGTCTGTGCAGTACACAAGGACACATCAAGATTTGCCTGTGTTTGAACACTGGAGTTAACACAGCATCCAGACTCAATGCTAAAGGACCCAAGACTAAGTGTTCTATTGGGGTATTTTTGTTGGTTGTTTTTCTGTTTGTTTTTAAAATTTAATTTAATTTAATTTTGTTTTTCTTTTTTTAGACAGTGGCTAATGCATCTGCATTATTATAGAGAATCTCTCAGGTGAAAAAAATCCAACGGGATCCTGATTTTTTTTTTTTTCTTTCAGATTTGCCATCCTTTATTTACAACAGTAGCAAAATAACTTCAATCACAATGAGGTTAAGATTATTTTTAACAGATGTTCACTGCTGGCCTGACCCAAAATCCATTGACGTCAATGAGAAGACTCCATGGGGCTTTGGATTGGGTTCTAATTGTTGGAAAAATTAATGTTATTGTAAACCACTGGTCAGTGCTGTCACATGCTCCCCTTCTGTGCCAATTCTATATGACCGGATAACAGACTCACATAAATCTGTTCCAACTGCTGGCTAAGAGGCTAAAGGACACAGAGGTTTATCTTTTTCAACTCTGAAGCACCCCTGTCCCCCCCAAGCACACCCTATGGCATTACTGTTTTTACTTGACAGATTCAGCATTACAGGCAGTATTCATACAATCAAAACCTCTCACAGTCAAACGCTGGGTGGGAATAACAGAATTATTAGTGCTGACAGTGTGAAGACAGCTGAATTACAGACACATACGAAATGAGATACTTTGGTTTCTATATTTTCAATAGAGTTTGTTGGTTTTTTTTTTCAAACACAGACCTGAAGGAAGGGTTGTACTTACTGTTAAGAAGGCGGAAGTCTATAAACGGGTAGGAGCCGCGGCGCTCGGAGAGAACTCCTGTCTGACCTCTCACTCGCGCATCTCCTGCAAGACACAAAATCCCCAGAGACGTTGGAAGGGGCAGCTGCCTTTCCCTGCTGTTTAGATCTAGATCTATTTTCTATCCACAGCAATGACGTTACACTCCTCCAGTGGGAAAACTGAGGTCCAAAAAATCACCTGTCATGACACCCCTGGGTAACTGGTAAGGCAGTGCAGCTGATCCTCTTATCAGAAAAAAGGAACTAAAACTCCTCATGTTTTTCCTATTGAACAGGAATATGTTTTTCCTTCTTGCCCAGTAAGCAGACTCTCACTGTTTCAGGAGTAGCGTAGAGGTCCAGTTTTTTGTCCAGACGAGACCAGTTGGATTCTGATTGTCACATTATCACCCTCAAATGTCTCAGCCTTGAACTCGGATCACAGTTCAGCTGAACTCCAAAGCTATGGGACTGGTCTCAAAATCATGAGTTGATTAAAAAAGTCCCAATGAAATAGGATTTTTTTTTTTTTAAATTATTTTTTGTTTTACTTTCTGCTCTTTGAGCACTCCAGAAAAACTTAGCTTCCTCCTCAAACACCAAAGCTGCTTTAGGTACGCGAAACCTGATGTTCTCAGATAAGCGTTACTCCCAAGCTTTAGAATGTATATTTAAATATCATAAAATGACAACACAATACTAAGAATTATTATCACTGTGTAATTCACATTGATTAGTACCTCATTTCCCATGTAATATTGATAAAATAGGCAAAACATTTTAGGAGAAAAATGCTACTCAGAATGAACAAGTTATAAAACCACTCCAAGCAGATAGGAAGCAGATGTTATTTTTACATTTCCATACCCTCAAATATCTTGTCCTGTGAGAAAACTGTTACTTTATAGGCAAAGAATAAGACTAAACTGTTAAAAATTCTTAAATCAGATGAAGTTTGGAGAACTTAGAGGTTCTGCTTAGAGTATTCCAGTTCTTCACAACACTAATTCCTCCTCTACAGAAACACAAGACATAGTGTTGAAAGTCTATCCACTGAACTTCCTAGGACAGTTCACACTGGAGGCCTCTCAAAGTTTGCAATAAAATTATTAATTATTAGCTAGAATTCTCTGTGCACTTCCTCTGGGATACAAATATAGCATATGACTAATCCAAACAAAAATAATTTAAGAATCTGTCTGCTAATGCTAGCTTCTACCATTTGTGTTTAAAAACAAGAAAATATCTTGCAGCATAAAAGAAGGTCCTAGTTAGATGCTGTTATAGTCTTCTATCTTGTGTTCACTTAAAATATGCTTACAATCATGTTTAAGGGAAGGAAGCCAAGTGGAAGTACCAAATTAAATTCTCAAGGTGGAGAAAAACTTCTGTGCCCTCTAGGGGTCCTTAGAGACACGAAAGACGGGAGCATGCACTCAAGAATATTTCAAACACAGACACTTTTGATTATAAATATAAATCTCTCATCCTTACTTTCGCTTTGTTTTTTTTTGTTTCCAGACACAGGGCACGTGTTCCCTGTACTCTGCTCTCGTTTGCCATCAGCTCGCCCTAAGGAACTGGCCCAAAACAACTCATACTGTTGTTGACCCCACTTACCCCTCCTGTTAGCAGGGCCAAGAGGTGCAAACCTCTGCCAGCTCTTCAGCTGTTGTGCTTCAAAGGTATGATAATAGCGTGGGTCTACCTTCAACAGCAGTTTAAAATCAACGTGCAACCTATGGCAAAGGAGGAATATAAACCTATTCCCCTGTGATCCTTCTGTTAAAGGGGAGAATGGTGGGGGAAATACCTGCAGAGTTTTTAAAACATCAAAGTGAGATTCATCGGCACCCAAGAGCCAGCGCTCATAAGGCAACCTGGCCTTCAAAGCATCGTTCTCCGTTACAGGTAGATCATCAGATTGGCTAATTCACGCGCAAAGAGTAAGAATGGCAAGCATATGATACACATTATATAACCCTCTTCCCGAAAAGCAGACAAGCTCAAGCCTGTCACTAATACGAGCATCAGCAAATTAAGAACGGGTGTAAATTCAGAGCATGCCCTGATTGAGGGGTTTGTTTTACTATATGCAGTGATGAATTAAGAGGAAACTGCAAATAATCCCCTGTGTTAACACACTGCTAAGCATGTCACTGTGACTAAATCAGCAGATACTTAGAAAAAAAAAAAGAGACATTCAAACTGCAAAAATATTAAAAGAACCCAAGACATGATACTGTAAGCCCAGAAAGATTGATTTTCTTCCTGGACATGAAATAATATATCTGTTAGATCAAGAGATGTACCATACTACTAGAGATAAACAAAATCATACATAGTTACGTATTGAAAAGATTGCCTAACTCCAATCTTAATCTTATGAGGAAGAGAACACTAAAGGTAATCAGACAACTGGAACACAGAAGAAAACACAGTGTGGGCTTACCAGAGTAGACCATACAAGATAAAACTTGATACTTAATTACATCCAATAAAGTAGCTATTAGACAAGAGGGAAAAAAAAATCAATGCTATAGTGCCCTTCAACAATATGGACTTTATTAAACACACAAAAGGCAAGAAATCAATTTTTAAGAAACTGAAGATGGAAATGACTAAAAGTGAGAAGGTAATAAGATGCACTGAAAAGAATTTTTGTTTAGGAACACTTACTGCATGAGCTTTAGAAGATTCATATTAGGAATGGTCTTAAAATTTTTTATTGATGATCTGGAGACAGAATTAGGAGAGCACTATTGAGTCCTGATGTTTAACAACAAGCTGAGAGATACCAGGTTTATACAGTTACAGCTATTTTAAATAAAGTTCATTGCTACTGTCACCTTGTCTGCCCCAACTGCTCTACGGCATAGCTATCTGCAGCTTCTACTGTCATTTTTCTGGTAGTCCAGCTTCCTCTCATGGTGCTGTTAATGTGTCCTACAGAACTAAAGACTAGCCAACTCAGACACATACGTACACTATTCAGGCAATGTAATTCTTGTAAAGAGAGAAAGCAAGGGAGGTATTGATGCCTTTAGTCAAAGTACTAGGTGTAAAGTTCATGTGAAATATTGCCTCTGAGAAAGCTGAATTCCTTCTACAAAAAATGGAAAGACCTCTAGAAAGATGATCAAGGCACTAAAGTGCTATTTCATAAAAGAAATATCACCCTGGAGTAATGCCCACTGCTGATAAGCAGCAGAATGGGAAAAGAACCATTTAGGCTATCAGAAGCATATCAACCTGAAAGAGGAGATGAAAAGAATTTATGTAGCTGATGGTATGGGCTTTATACACACTGAAAGATGACAAGAAATAGTTAAGGGCTATGCCTGATGATGGATAAATTTTCTAACAAGTCTATATTCTTCAAACTAAGGTAACGGGAATGAGTTTTACTTAACCAGCAAAGCCAAGGCCCTGAAGTCATGGAAAATTACTGATTATTCCGATTGGTAACTTGTGTCATTTTACATATTTACAGATAATGAAAGTTAGGGCTGTCTCTAGCACAACAGGAATCTACACACAGAATAACTCTGCATATCTGCTGACTTGATAAAAGCCACTAAAATCCTTATATTCAAGGATTATTAACTTTACCCTCAGGGAAGGCAAGTTTCTGATGAGTCAAAGATGTTATCAAGTAGCTCTACCTCATCAATCTGTTATTTCAAAATACTTCGCCAGGTGCCATCTAGTCTCTTTCCACATCATTACAGAAAGATTACTTAGGAAGTGGTGGTGGGCTAAATCAACCACACCCGCCTTCCACCATTTTTTCTTGGCTCTCTTTGGAAAACATTTATATTCTTCCCTGTTACTTTTAATTACCTCTAAATACACTCAACGGAGATACTAAAAATAGGGATTGTACCAGACGTACACCATACCACATGATTTTTCACTTCTGGGCGGCAAGAGCCTTTCATGGCAACATAGCAGACCTCTCTTTTTTGCTCTGACACAGGACTTCGAGGGCAACTTTCATCGGCCGCCAGACATTTACATCTCTTTGCTCTCCACCTTAAAATCAAGCTAAACAATTGCTCTGACAATTTATGCAATTAGCAGTTTTACATAAATAATCCTTTTTGGAGTGAAAGGAAGGATTCTGTGGAAACAGGACAGGAAATTTTGACAGCTCATTGTGTTCCCAAGTGAAACAAGCAGGGTGAAGGGAAATGGCAAGGGTACAAGTTCTCCTTGGTTGCTTTGGGCTGAAGATGCAGAGCTGGAACATTTGCAGCCACAAGCACGAAGGGCTGCAACCTCACCAGAGCCAAGCTGCCACAAGAGCTTCCAGTGGACACTTCCCAGAGACTGCCATGCTCTTCAATTTTACTTTGTCCTTGTGAAAACAGACAAGAAAACAAATCAACCAAACAGAAGTAACATGCAGTTTTAGGTAACAGAAGCCTGTGCAACACAGGCTGTAGCTGACAAGTACGGCAGCTTATAGTCACAAGAAAATCAGATATGGGCAAAAACCACGGTACTACTCTGGCCATAGTGTCAGCGTGGTTTCAAGACAGGCAGAAGGGTTAAGAAAAAAAATGAGGTAGGTCCTACATGCCTGTCACATCTGGAGGAAAGAGCTATCGCACCAAGGAAAACAACATATCCAAGAGTTGCCTGAAACAATGTGAGATTCAATTTCAATGAGCAAGCACAACAAATTATGAGAGAAAACGGGGCCATAGATGTGACCAACCAACAGAGCAGCTTCATGCAGCAGAAGTTAGGACCAGCTACCAAATTACTGATTTTATTTAGCACACAGCTCC